TATTCTGCTCTGTGTCAATATGTCATATGTCAGGTATCAATCCATATCCATTGTGATTTAGGAATGTTAGGTGATTTCTGCCCTTTATGGATTAAGACCAGACTCTGCATCAACTGTGTAATTTTCCATGGGAGTTTTGCCATGGATCCCCCTCCGACATGCCACAGTCCAGGTGTTAGTCCCCTTGAAACAACTTTTCCATCACTATTGTGGCCAGAAAGAGTCCCTGTGTGTTTTAAAATTCGCCTGCCCATTGAAGTCTATGGCGGTTCGCCCGGTTCGCTGGTTCGCGAACATTTGCGGAAGTTCGCGTTCGCCGTTCACGTACCGAAAATTTCGTGTTCGCGACATCACTAATAGAGACTCTCATGGCTGAAGCTTCAGTGCTATACCTTCTTCATAGCTCTATAAGAATCTTGAAAGGCAGGTTACCAACTGCCACGATTTACCTCTGGAGTATACCCTGCAGGGTCAGTAATTCCATGTATCTCAGAAATGCTGGTCACTGGAGGTTCTACTGTCTGACACTGAGGAGCTGGATTCTTGGATCTTCAGTCCTGAGGTAAATACACTGTTTTCATGCTTCTAGAAACAGCAGTGAAAACTACAGCTGGATGACAACCTGCATCAGCAGGCGTATAAATTTGGACAGGTCTGCATCCACGTTTGATCCATAGGCTTGCTTGAAAAAAAAAAAAAAAAAAGCAGAGTTGTTAAGCGGTAGCAGGGCTGCCATCAGGGGGTGACAACCATAACACGAATCGGGGCACTTAGGGTCACCCGATGGGCCCTGTATCTTCAAAAGCCCGGTCAGCGCTGTGGCCATGTAATAGTGCGACCGGGCCCTTTTTAAAAAAAACAACAAAAAAAACAATCGTAGCTGTAGCAAGTGCTGCTGGGAGGAAGTGGTGACTTCCTCCCATCTCACTCCGTGCGGGAGGAGCGCGGGCGCGGCAGTGAGGGAGAGCCAGCTGAGCCAGTCTGTATGCATGTATGTCTGTCTGTATGTATGTATGTATATATGTATGTCTGTATGTCATTATATATGTATATATGTATGTTTGTATGTCAGTATGAATGTATGTCTGCATTTCATTATGAACGTATGTCTGTGTGTATGTGTGTATGGATGTCTGTATGCCATTATGAACGTGTCTGTGTGTATGTGTGTATGGATGTCTGTATGAATGTATGTCTGTCAGTATGTCTGTATATATGCATGTATGTCAGTCTGAATGTATGTATGTATGTCTGTATGCCATTATGAGTGTATGTCTGTATGCCATTATGAATGTATGTGTGTATGGATGTCATGGTCTGTATGTCTGTATGTATGAATGTATGTGTGTATGTATGTTTGTATGTATGTATGTCAATGTGTATGTATGTGTCTTTATGTCCTCATGTATGTGTGTATGTATGTTTGTATGTATGTATGTCAATGTGTCTGTATATGTGTGTATGTCTCAGTATATGTGTGTCAGTATGTATGCCTGTATGCGTGTATGTCTGTTTCAGTATGTGTATTTGTTAGTATATATCTGTGTCCTTTTGTATCAGTGTGTGTGTTTGTGTCTGTGTGTGTATTCCTGTGGGCGGTATATGGAGGTGGATTCTGTGGGTGGTATTTGGAGGCGGGCCCCAGGGGGCCCAGACCCTGAGCTGAGTTAGGGGCCCCAAAATTTCTGGTGGCTGCCCTGAGCGGTAGCATCGTCCCACCTGTCATGTGGCTGTGCTGTTATAGGTGATGCTGAAGCAGCTACATTATGGAGACAGTCAGAGCAGAACGGTTTTCTTACACTGCTTTCTCATCAGAACCAAAACATGGTGTAGATTCAGAAAATACTTTGCAACTTTCCTTTGTAAGCTATGCCAGCATGTCCTGTGGCTGTGCAGCTATAGGTGAAGCTGAAATGGTTACCTTCTGGAGACAGGCAATGCATAACAGTTTTCCAACCACTGCATTTCCATCACAATCAGAACACTGCAGATTCAGACATAAAATAAACAAAAAAAAATATTACATGTGGTGAAGTATAAAAGTACAAAAGGGCACTGTCAACTTCTAATACCAAGAAAACAGTCAGTTAAAACTGGCTGAGAACAGCACTTACCCACGACTGAAGAACCCAAATAAGTTTGGGATGTTTACTGTAATTTTTCCCTACATTTTAGGTACTTTATGGCAATGGCCCTAATCCTAGATGACTGCCAAAATCTATATTCCCATAATGCAAGATATCAGTATTGGGCCTTTAAGGCACAAACTGCACATGCACGGGCGTCTTCCGAGTGAATTTGCTGGCTAGAGACCGAAGAGAGAGCTCGGTCTGTAGCATACATGACCCCTGAACACCAGGGAACCGGGAATAAATCTCAGGGACCGAGGGGAGGCATAAAGTAAAAGTGCCTGCAAGGTGATAAAAAGGCAACAAGGTGCAAAAAATAACCAAAGTTAAAGGCATTTTAGTAAAAGAGGCATCAGAGCATAAGGCAGTAGGCACAGCTGCATGATGAACCACAGTTTAAAGATATTACAGTTTAAGGGACAACTGCATAATGCATCACAGTTTAAATGCACCACAGTTTAAAGGCATTACAGCATAAAACACAGCTGTATAATCCACCACAGTTTAAATACTTCAAGATTAAATGCATTACAGCATAAGGCACAGCTGCATAATGCACCAGTTTAAATGCATCACAGCATAAGGCAACTTAAAATAGCAAAAACAAATAAAGTAATGAAGAGAAAAAAACTACATGTCCATGAGTTAAGGGAGCAAAACGCTCACACCCTAAGGGCTGTAGGACAGGAGACTGAGGGTCCTATGCATGGATACTCCTTTTAAAGGAATTTGGTTTATCCCTGTACTATTGGCTGTAAGGGGAGGAGCTAACCCATGTGTATATGCTGACATGATTAGCCAGGAAATTATTGTAACGGCACCCCCAAGCGGTTAAACCGCTGTTTAGGAGATCTTCCCCTTCCAGAGACACAGGCAGCTACTGAAGACACCAATCCACCGAACCGGAGAAGCATACGAATGCTCTCAAACATACGAATGCTGTAAACAGCCGAATAGGAAAAACCATACGAAAGGTTTACACTCCTAGCAGTCGAACTGGAACAGCATACAATAAATCCCCCCAAGAACGAGACTAGGCTCTGTTTTGAGGGTCAAGCAGTGAACAGACAGAGCTATGGGTTTATTGTTCTTATATACACATTAGTACCACCCACAGGGTTTAAGAAAACAACCAATAAACACGTACAATACACTCAGACACTCCCACACAAAATCCTCCCCTCTGCCGGTGATACAATTACCTTACACAATGGGTAATGTAATTATAACAGCCAGAGAAATACAGTTTTTCCACATTATTCATAACTTGAAAAGTATGCATCACATTCACTTACATTTTCAGAATCAGCATACTCCAAATACAAACATGTGTCAAAATCATCCAGATTGGTCCATTGGTTCAAAAGATAGATCAAAGTCCTTTGTGACCAAATGAGGCATGGCTTTTCTGCCCAAAACCAGTTCCACAGAGTCTTCTATCCTGGAGATAATTGGGAAGTAATCCAATTATCTCCAAGGACAGAGGCCAAACTCCATTAAGCACATGGCAGTAAAAAGACAGTAAAATACAATAAAATACACAAGGTTACATTTATTACATAAAATACAGACATGCAACATATCCCCAGATAGCTTAGGTCTGAGCGCACATTATTACTGAATGGCGCTCAGACCACACACATACAGTTCAATCGCCATGGAGCAAAAGTCTTTTATTACACGAATAGGCTCCATGGCATAGGGTTAAATGACTTCATTCAGTAAATCCGAGAATCTACCGAATGCCAGGGCAGAAATACAGGAATAGACCTTTCTGCATAAGAAAATAAAGTATTTAAATGCCGGTCCATAGTCAAAAGGCAGCAGGCAGGCAACCAGGCTTCTCCAATGCAATGTGGCGAGATTGGTCTCGTCACAATTATATATACATATATATATATGTTACAGTTAAAGTGAGAAATCAGTGCACATTACCTAGTTAATCTGCAGATTAACTGATTTGCTCAGTTAAAGTGCGGAATCAAGAGTTTTCCGCACTTTACCTAGGTAATGTGCACATTAACTGCTTCCGTCTAGTTAAAGTGCAAAATGTTTGTTTCTTTCCCTCAGTAAAAGAGGAAATTATTTATTACAAAAACGTCCTCGCAGAACCTGTTTCACCCTTTCAGTGCAGTCTCTGCAGAGTCGTTCACTTCTTGTCTGAAGGCAGAAAGATTCTGTGTGAACTTGTCTCGATTCTTTTTATGAGCAAGTTCCTTTCAATGCCCTCCACCATCAAATTCTCAAAGCATAGACGCTTGGCTTGTTGCTTATCAGAGGGGGGCTGACTACTAACAATGCTGCTCCGTAAGTCCGAGAAATACTTCTCTGATTGAGGAGAATGAGACCAAGGAGAGGTTGCTCATGGACCACTTCCAACAGTCTTCAAACATATGATGATATTGAGAACAGTGGACAGCATCTGCTGGGATAATTTCAGGGTGTTGTTGCATAATGTGCAGGAAGCGATCGCTCTCTTGTGGTGGTGGGGGTTCCTTGTTTCTTACCAGTTCGGGATAACTGCTTGAAGAGGTATGTGACTATGTGGTCCAGACATGAACAGAACAGCAGCCTGTGCACACCATGGTGTCCTCCAGAGCTGTGAGCCCCTCAGAGAGATGGAGGACAAAATGATTTGTTTAACGAGTGCCTAGTCGGTAATGTGCAGATTACCTAGGTAATGTGAGAAATATTTGAGAAACAAAATAATTTTCTGCACTTTAACTGATCGCTCTAGTTAATCTGCATTAACTGATATCTGCACTTTAACTGTAACATATATATATATATATATATATATAAATCAATAAGGGGAGCACACCAGGACTTCAGTATAGTGAAAAAAAAGTATTTACTGTATCAAAAACATGGTACAAATTCTGTGCAAAAGAAATCAACGTTTCGACCCTGCTGGGGTCGAAACGTTGATTTCTTTTGCACAGAATTTGTACCATGTTTTTGATACAGTAAATACTTGTTTTCACTATACTGAAGTCCTGGTGTGCTCCCCTTATTGATTTATGTATATTTGGACGCGGGATTGCACCTAGGCATTTGATCCACTACAAGAGGAATTTCAGGAGGAGTGCCTTGCTTACCTATTTTTATATATATTTTATATATATATATATATATATATATATATATATATATATATATATATATATATAAAGATGATAGCTTGGCACTCTCCTTGAAAAAGGAAGACAGTGTATTACTTGCCTGGGTGCAGATCTTAGGCGTCAATTATATAAAAATGAAAGAATCAAGATGCACTCACAGGTCTTCAGATATAAGAAAAAATGGTGCTTTATTAATCCATGTGTGGTATACAACAAAAATCAATCAACGTTTCGACCCTGCCGGGTCTTTTTCAAGATCATTAGATGCATAACAATGAAGTGTATATATATTAAATATAAAAATATGTAAATGTGCACTTACCCAATAGAGCAGTGAAGTGGAAAGTGTCTGCCCGTTAGAACCCGGAAGTGATTGGAAGCCGCATGGAACGTCACGTGATCGGGACGTCCGACGGAGGAAAATGGTTACCATGGTGAAAGTATACAAACAGAATAAAACACTTGCCGAGCGCAAGGGACACAAGCTGCTGTGAAGGAAAGTTGATAGTGTTAACTATCAGCATAATAAAGTGATCACTGATGCCAACGATAGATGTAAATGGAGTGAAAAAAACAGTGTTATGACGTGCAAATAAAGTGATAGTGCCTCACAAGTGAAAAAACTAATACACACAAAATGTACAGTCCATTACATCAAATCTAAATCATGGCATCAAATAAGTTAAAAACAAAGCAAGAGTTCAAACATATTCATATCACAATGTGTTAATAGAAAAGAAAAAGAGATAGTACTCTAATCCATGAAGGAAGAGAAAAGATTTTTATATAGTAATAACTCATATGTGAAAAAATATAATACTCTAAAAAGAAAAAAGCTCAAGGCTCTGTGCGGGCATGCTCTATCACAAACTAAGAGACAAAACATGTGCAGTTTACTGGCCTAAAAGAATAGAGACATCGTGTCTGATGTAATAAACACAACTATACCAAAAGAACTGGTGGCATATAGGTACATCAGATAAATAGATAAATAGATAAACAGCACATCTAAGTAGGAACAAAAAGTATATCTGTAGTTAATCGCTAAATGAATTACATAAGCGAATCCACTCTAGTCTATGTAGCATATGATAGCTATCTACATCTGGAATTTATACGCATACAACCACAGAAAAAAAGGGTTGTTATATAGACCAAATAAATTGTCTAACTAAAAAATGAAGATTTGCACAACAGCAAAAGGAAATTTTTGTATAATATCACTATATTGCCATAAAACTAGCATAGTGTTACCAATACTGCTGCTGAATAAGGAACTATAATCACAGAAACATAGAGTACACAATGTTTTCATTTAAACCTCTAGGGGTTACTGTATCCAAATAATGGATCCAATAAGCCTCTCTCTGTAAGAGAGTTTTGGATCTATCTCCCCCTCGATCCAGCGGAGGAACATGATCAATACCGATAAATTTAAGCGTAGGTAGATGGTGTTGCATAGCCAAAAAATGTTTGGCCACTGGTTTTTCGGTAGTCTGGTCACAGTATGCCGTCATGATCCCAGATCGATGTCCTCTGATCCTATCACGTAAAGTGAGATCGGTCTTGCCGACATAGGATAATCCACATGGACATGTCACCATATAGATGACATGATCCGTGGTACAGGTAATATGATGACTGATCGGTATTCGTTTGCCCGTATGCGGATGGGCAAAAGAGGTACTAGTTGGCATGTGGCTACAGGTCACACATCCAGTACACTTAAGCAGCCTTTCTTTATAATCCATGTTTTTTTCTTGTAACATTGTGTTGGATCATTGCGGACCAATAGGTCCCTAAGGTTTCGGTTCCATTTATAACTGATCATAGGTCGTTGTTGAAAAATTGAGGGAAGATTATTATCTGCTTGGATCATATCCCAATGTCTTTGTATAGTCTTTTTTATTTTTACAGTTGCTGTATGGTAGGTCATGGGTAGAAATAGCTGTGTCTTCATAGATTTTGTATTTTTCTCTGAACAAAGGCGTTCTCTAGCTCTCTGTTCCGCAGTGTCCAATATATGTGGGGCATACCCCCTATCAATAAAGCGTTGCTTCATTTCAGCCAGTTGAAAATTCATTTGAGGTATGTCACTATTATAGCGTAGGACTCTAAGGAACTGCGAGATAGGAATGGAGTCCTTTAAATGTTGAGGATGGAAGCTAGTAGCTGATAAAATGGTGTTTCTGTCAGTTTCTTTACGGTGTAAGGTGTAACCGATTTCACCTGTTTTTTTATATATAATAGAACATCCAAAAAGTGAATCTGATCACAATTATAATTCAGAGTGAATTTTATTGTGGTCGGTAGCATGTTTAATTGTTGTACCATTTCTTCAAATTCCTGCTGTGAAGTAGTCCATAAGAGAAGGATGTCATCCACAAATCGGAAATATTTCAATATTTTCTTCGCATATGTTGAAAAGATATATTGTTGTTCAAACCATGACATAAAGATGTTGGCATATGAGGGAGCCATAGCCGCCCCTATAGCAGTCCCCGATATTTGCAAATAGAAGTTACCTTCAAATTTAAAATAATTACAAGACAGTGCAATTGTGAGTAATTCTAAAATAAATTCAATGGGCGGGCCTTTTTACACCAAGGATTTGGAAAGCGTAGTCCGAACGGCTTCTATGCCTTCTACCTAGGGTATTGCCGTATATAAGTTTTGTACATCCAAGGTAGCAAATATAAACAAGCGCTGTGTATTCTTTTCAAGATCCCTGAGTTGATCAAGGAGATCCTGAGTATCTCTAAGGCAAAATGGTAACTCTTTGACACAATCTTGTAAGTAGTAATCCACGTATTTGGCGATTGGTTCTAAAAGGCCACCCCTAGCCGACACTATAGGTCTACCAGGCGGATTTTTACTAGATTTATGGATCTTAGGTAAAGTGTACAAAACCGGATGTATAGGATGAATAACGTGTAGGTACTTCGCTGTATTTGAATCCACATAACCAGCTTGCAGGCCAATTTCAATAAGTTGTTGAATCTTTTTTTGGAATGACTGCACAGGATCATAAGTAAGTTTCCGGTATGTAGATGTGTCATTCAACTGACGCATAATTTCACATTTATATTGTTGATAAGATTGGATCACAACGCCTCCACCCTTATCTGCAGGGCGAATAACAATATTCGTATCTTCTCGAAGATCTTGAAGTGCAGCTTTTTCATCCGGAGTTAAATTAGGTCTGTATTTGGATGGTTTCTTTATAATGTTTAACGCATCTTTGTGTATGGTCTGTACAAAAGTTTTGATAGTCATATTATTAGATTTAATATCTTTCTTCTCTTTGGTGATAAAAGGACTTAATTGATATGTAGAACTTTATTTTCTGTATTCATTAGCATACAGTGTGCGTTGTAATTTATACATATCAATTTCAACAGAAAATGCCTGAGGTTTCTTAACAGGAATAAACGTTAAACCTTTACTAAGAAGACTGAGATGTGCTTCAGTCAGTAATTTATCAGAAAGGTTAAATACTACGGACGTCTCTTCTGTGATGGGGGTTTTGCAGCTGTGTTGGCATATCTGGTGACCCTTTTTCCCTCGCCTGGGTGGTCTCTTTTTTCTGTGCCGCTGGCTTCTGTACTCATGCCTGGAGGGTCCTGATGATGGATGCCAGCTCCTAAAAAAGTGACTAAGTGGCTACTAAAAATGACTGGACAAACCTCATTTGCAATACCTTGGGTTGTTCTCTATTGCAAATGGTATGCCATCATGGGAGTAATTCTCATTCCTGTGAAAACCAAAGAAAAAGTTACCTGTGCTCTCTCCTTAATCCCTATGTATATTTAGACAAATGGAGGTCAATTAGTTACTCCAATGGCCATTGGAGGGAATGCCCGCCTGCCAACGAAAAGGCATACCTCCCTAGGCGGGTCCTACACTGACCCTTAAGCCTGCTTCCTTGAGCTTCTGGCAAAAATATCTCTAATGAGACAGAGAGGGGTATTTTTAATATACACCCCAATATACTTATACTGGGATGGGCGGCAGCATTGTAATATAGTAAAAGCAGTAAAAGCAAACAGTATTATGCACAGTTAAAATGTCATGCAGGACTAAAAAAAAATAAGAAAAGGGATTTACTTAATTTTGATCTTTCAGCAGCTTAGTATATAACTCTTTAATTTGCTTATTTGCTATCCTGAAATGGGATTTCCATCATTAAGGATGTCAGATTCAAGAGCTATCTACTAAACAGAAACTGAAAGAGAAATATTAATAAAAAGGACTTTTATAAATTTTGCACTTCTTGACATTTACTAGATTACTACCTGAATTGGTTCTCTGTCGTGCGATTGCCATATTTAAAGATAACAAATTAGGGTGCTGTTTAGAAGATAGCTCTTTAATTTTGTATTTGTTAAAGATGTCAGTTGTATACAGGTATTGCAAATTAGGGTGTTATCTACTAAACAGCTGAAAGTTCAAAATTAAGAAAATTTAATTTCTTAATTTTGATATTTCAGCAGTTTAGAGAATAACACTCTAATCGTTTGATTTGTAACTTTGTGACTGTCAGCTTCATATATTCTCTAAAAGTAATAATAAACAGATATTACATTTTTTAAACAAATTTCATTTCATCCAAATCAACATTTTTTAATCAACATTTGAAAGTTAACTAATCTAAATGATACAAAAATGATTTTTCCTATTCACATCTATAATGAATACCAATGTTTCAAATTATTTGTATTGTACAACAATGTATAGAATGTTGAATTAATTAACATGTAAGGAAAGATAAAGTGCTGCAGAATATGTTGGCACTTTATAAATAATTGTAAATTGGAATGTTACTAAT